AAAAGAAAAGATATAATGCTAATTCGAAACTGAAAGATATAATGCTAATTTTAATTTGTCATTAACTTTATGATATTTAAGTTTTGTTTGGACGAAGCCTAAGAAACAAGGATAGTATGAATATAATTAAATTTTTCAGAAAAATCTTGAAGTATAGTATTAACTAGAATGGCGTATGAATTATAATTAAAATTTTTTAAAAATCTTCAACTTTATTATAGATTGAAACAAAAAAAATCAAAAGTTCAAAAAAGAGAGTAATAACAATTATATAGACTAATAATAATATTTGAATCTTCAAAATTTAGACTTCATATTGTCCAGCTTTCATGGGGGAGAGTTCGATTCTATTGTGTGATCTTTTCTCTGTATTTTCTTCATCTTTTGAACCCCACAATGAGTAATATGCATATAGAACTAGTTGGAGAAAACCTGAGACGGCTCCAACACCATTACTTATCTGCAAAATTTTCAATTAAATGTAAAGCTCTTAATCAAATACTTAAATGTCAATAAAAATATCAAACTTAAAATAGAATAATTGATTTTTTTAATTATTGCTAAAATTTGTATTAGAAGTGTGGGAGGTATACATACCATCATATATATATCAAACTTAATAAGTGCATAAGTTGTCCAGATGCAACCGTTGAAAAAGTTGGCCAAAGAAAGAGTAAATGGCATATACTTGACACTCTTTGTCATTATCACATTTTTCTGTAAAAATTAATGAATAGATTTAATTTTAATGTTTTTACATTTTTAAAAAAAATCATATTATGTTAAAATCAAGATAAAGTGTAAGTAAAATTGGATTGAAATTTACTTACCATGATGGTTAGAGGAGAAACATACATCATGATGTTAAAGATGTCACAAATTATTCCAACCATCAGTGATCTATTTTTGGTTTCGTGCAAAACTAACATGGTTATGACAACAACAATGGCCACGAATATGACTTCAATCAGAAGACAGATACCCACTTTCTTCTGAAAATTATAAGAGAAAATTCAAATTTAAACGGTGAGAAATTTGATAATTTAAATTTATATTTCTACGATAACATGCCATTATAGATGTGTGGCCTTTTACTTATATGCCTAAGATTAAATCCAACAATAATTAAGAGATAAATTCATCAAAGTTACGTACCCTGTCTTTTGTTATCAGCAAAAAGAACAAATATGGCCAAATACGCAAGTTCGATAACGAGGCCAATGCCATTAATGGTGACAACCAAAATACTATCTGAATGGACAAATGGCATTCCATAAAAGATCCAAAACATACAATTTAGTACGGTAGCGATATAGGGATCAGGCTTGAACTTCTCGACGGACTTGTTCTTAATGATTTTCCAAAATGTTGGTCTGCACAAAAATAAAAAATAAAAATCTTAGGGGAAAATTGGGAACGATACAATATTGGATGAATATGAACGAGAAGAGCTCTTACAGTGGGGAGAAGAAGAGGCCGAAGGAGATGACATTACCTGCCGAACATGAATTATTACCGAATAAAATAATCACAAAGCAACTTTGGTTGTTTATAATTCAAAATAAAACTGTTAAAAAATAAGGCCTAATAATTTATGTTGTTTTTGGATTCTAAGAGAAGTAATTACCAACAATGCCGACGATATTCCGGGCTACGGTGGCGCTCACCATCTTCACGTATTGCTTCTGAGAAATCCGATCAAATTTAACGCAGAGAGTGAGAGGAAGAATTGGCGGTGGTCGGAATTTATAAGCCGTGCCGGAAACTTCCTCTTCCTCATTGGAGTATGAATTGTTACCATTTTTTTCCTCCGGAAAATTCTGAATTTAAAATTCATGGCGGATTAGGAAACCAAGTCTTCCTAATTACCAATCCTGCCGTTGCTTCTTTATTTTTTATTTAATGTTTTGAATAATTTGAGTGAAATATTATTAAGTAGCATTGGTTCTAAAATAAATTAAGATCAGTTTTATATAGTATTATAAAATAGTTATATTTAATTGTTAAATATTTTTGTTTCATATGATATTTTCTTCCTTTAATTTTGATGTAATTAGCATCAATTTAATTTAAAAATATAAAATTTTTTAAATATCATATAATTCTACTTAATAGAGAAGATTTTTAATATTCTAGTGATACTTTTCAACTTTTATTCATATGAATAAATGTATTGATTAACTATCATATAATTAATTAATATTTTTACTGATCTTATAACATGACTCGACTCGACTGGTTAAGACACTTATCTTGATCAAGAGGTTGTGAATTCGAATTTCCACCACATATGTTATACTCTTGAAAAGAAAGTTCTTACAGTAACATATTTGATTATAAACTTATTAATATAGTTTAGTTTTTTTCTCACAGCAGATCAAAAGAAAAAAAAAAGTTTTTTTCTTACGTTGCAGTGGAGGTGTGTTTCCTTGATTGAATAACTTACTTTTCAAATTAATTCAAATGTTATTAATTGTAATGATGTATTTTATTTTATTTATATTAATTGTAATACAATTTTAGTTGGTTGACTGTTTTTATACCATATAAAATAAGATTATTTTTTTTATATTTCTACTATTATATTTCATATTTTGTAATCACACTAATATATATATATATAGAGGATAAAATCCAAGTAGGACACGTGTCTCCTTGTGGAAGCGCTATCACGTGCGGCCACTTCCCCAACCCAACGTCGCTGAGTAGGACACACGTCCGGTTGGGGTAAGGATGGACCATAAGCGGTTATGTCCCGTACACAATCGTAGCAGGGGAGGGCGTGCGTTGTTGGTACAAAGGGCGCACCCTACAGCTTTAGGGAATGAGTTCTTGCGCCACAGGTGGTGTTGCCATCTTGCAGCTATCGAAAGTATGTCTCCAGATGCTTTCTAGACGGCACGTTTCACCTCTGTCATCTCTAATCGTCGTCCTTCTTGGTTGACCGTCTGATTTTATAAATGGAAGGACCTCATCCTCACCAAGTAAGTGAAAAATCTGTCACTTATACTTAACGTGTGTCTTTGCAGCGTTGGCGGCTAAGTATGAAAGGTCGATCTGTTCAAAGGTGGTTCTCAGGGAAGACTTTATCCTTCCGACCTTCCTCCATTGTCCACGTGGCAAGGTTGTTTTTTTGCCTCCAAGATTCGAAGCAGCTCTTTTTACACTATTTTGGAAACTCAAGTAGAATATGTAAAATACATAATTTTCAAAATTCTAGCAGTCTCGACATCTTCATCGCTGTCTACATTTGAAATCTTGTTTCACATGGAGGAAACCATTACTCTGGTTATATTCAGAATGTGTATAAACTTATATAATAACTCAATTTTACATCATAATACTTCTGTGGAAATTTTATATTTTTTTGTTGTATATTGATCTAGTTAATTTTTGTAATTGTGTATACTGTATAACTCAACTGGTCAAGATATTTATTTCTGACTAAAAGGTCATGAGTTCGAATTCTCAGCCCATATGTTCTACTTATAATCAATTTAAAGAAATCTAGTCTAAATTTCTATCTTGTATGCAAAAAGGCAAAGAGTAAAGGTAAATAAAAGATGTTAGAAATAAACAAAAACATAGATGATTATAATCTTGTAGGGAAGAAAAATAGCTCAAGCTTAATCATAAATTGAGATGGAACAAACTTATTTGGGTAAAATTAAAATCTCAAACAAGGATAATTAATTTGATCAATACAAGGCACAAAAGCTAAGGACACAATTGTTAACCTAATTTCTAAACTAAGAACGACACTTAAACTTTGCATGGTCCTTCCACGACAACTTTGCATGGTCCTTCCACGGTGGAGAGTTGAATCTTTTTTGGTTCCTTCTCTATAATTTCTTCCTCTTTTGAACCCGTTATTGAGAAATATGCATATAGAAATAGTTGGAGGAGACCTGAAACTACCCCGATACCATTGCAAATCTACAAGATTTTTGGTAAGCAAAACTGATTGTATTAACACAAGTTATAATCAAAGAGTTAAAATTTTTATGTTTATAGAAATTTCGAATTATCAAACCTATGAAACAATGAATGAATAAATAAATAAATATATATTTATGAAATCTCAATGGGTTAACTAATATTCTTAAGAAGATCACGAAAGTTGTATAAAATTATAGAATTGTTGATATTAATAAAATGAAAGAGATATCTACTAGGTATTGATGACATCTAAACTCATCGACTAGTTTATAAATATATGGAAATATTGACACGTCAATGAAGATTTTATTTGACGATTCTTATTGATAAGAGACTATTTTAGTTTAAGTATTTGCTTTAGAAGTACATTATACGTACCAATATGTAGATATCAAATTCGATGAGGGCATAAGCTGTCCAGACGCAACCATTGAAGAAGTTTGCCAATGAAAGAGTAAATGGCATATACTTGACACTTTTTGTCTGTATCACCTTTTTCTGTTCAAACAATAAATTTTAGTGTTTATTTTTATTCACCAAAGAATGTAATATACCTAAGATATAACTCCATGACTCAAAAAGGCAAATTTTATTTTTAAAATATATTTTTAATAAATGTTGAATTTATTAATAATCATGAGGTTTCCATTTGAAAACCGATGAGAGAGATAGTCAATATCTATTATAAATCATTGTAAGGTATCCTAACAAAGTTTAGATATTACTTGAATTATGAGACTTCTAGAGTATTTAATATGAAATAAAAAGACAATGGCATTGCAACAATTAATTTAAACTCAAAATATTTTATTATAACAATATCTGTTAAAAGTTTAAATTTTTTTTTTTTGTTTGGAGTACCTGTTAAAAGGATAAATTAATCACTGGTCTAATGGTTTGGGCTAAAAAATTTGGTTTCTAATGATATTAAAAGTTTCAATTTTAAGATTATAAATGGTAATAAGTTAATTTTTTCAATTTGATTGACTTTAAATAACCTATTCTGTAAGGGTTTAAGGCTAAAGAAAAATTAGGGAAATTCCCATATTTGATCTAAATTGAAACTAATTTCAAAGTATAGAGACTCGGTTGAAATTAACTTGAAACATCTCAACACCAAATTGAAATTAAAAAATCAGGATCCATTTGATAAAATTCTCCTTTCTTGTTTCTTAGGTTCATTTTCAATTTTTGAAAAACATAATCATTTAGTAAGTGTTTATGATTCATGTTTCTCAATTTTAAGAAATGTTTTCAAAACTATGCAGAAATTTTAGGAAAAAAAAAATCAAGTTATCCAATATTTTCCAAAATATAGATAAAATTATTATTTTAAAAATACATAATAAATAAAACATAAAATTTTTTTAATTTGAAATGAAAGATTTCACATAAAAATTTCACTTGCTTTGATGAAAAATTTCAGAGAACAAGAAACATATTTTCATTTCTTTTTCCAATAAAAAAAATAAAGAACGAGAAAACAAGAAACAGTCACCACCATAGTTTTGTTTTTCATGATTAAGAATGGGGAAATGATAAACAAAAAGACAAAAATGTTACCAAAGAGATCCTTAATAATTTAACATTTCTATTAAACCTACAACCATGAATTTAATTTTTCTTCCACATCACAAATATGAAGCGGATTGGAAATTTACTTACCATGATGGTTAGCGGCGAAATATACATCAAAATATTGAAGATGTCACAAATTATTCCCACCATCAGTGATCTACTTTTGGTTCCACGCAGAGCTAGAATAGTTATGTGAACAACTATGGACACAAATATGAGTTCAATAAGAAGAGAGACACACACTTTCTTCTGCAATAAGAGAAAAACACATAAAACAAAATGTGAGAAATTTGAGAGATAAAATAAAAATCCAAGACTGAAAGGGAAGAAAAATAGATACACGTGATATAAAATGTCTCAATTGCTAAGGGAGCTTCTATGACCATATCGACTCAAATATCGAAGCCTCAATTTTTTGGAAATGTTCGCGTAAATATCAACAAAACATCAATGTTGATAGATATTTCTATAAAACAAATCATATAAATAAGAAATATTTAAATTAACATTTCAATATTATTAAATAAGTTAAAAATTCTTATTATTAATATTATATTAACATTAATGAGTTTTTTTTATATAATTGTCGACTTTTTTGTGGTATTATGAAAATACCGATTCACCTTTAGATTGATGTCAAACCTATGGATATATGAAAATGTCAAAATATTGATAGAAATTTAATAGCGTGCTAGTAACACTTTTTTTTCTCATTTTTTTGAAGAATTCTCAAACGTTCAAATTGGAATACAAATTTAGTAGCATACTAATGTTAATCATTAATATACACGTCTTGTCTAATTTTTGCTATATATACCTAAATTACGCTAAATTCGTCGATAAAAGCAAACTTACCCGGCCTTTATAATCAGCAAAGAAGAAGAATATGGTCAAATAAATCATCTCTAAAACAAGGCCAACGGAATTAATGGTGATGACAAGAAAGCTATTTGGATGAACAAATGGCATCCCATAAAACACCCAAAACATACAGTTTAGGGTTGTTGCAATATAGGGATCTGGCTTGAATTCTTCCACCGACTTTTTCTTAATGATTGTAAAAAATGTTGGTCTGCATAATATCGATAAATATTTTAATATTCTACCAAAATATATGTGTGTTTCGAAAACAATATTAAAAAATGGAAATATATACAAGTTTTAAATGTGATGCGCTAAATATATACCAAGTCATTCTTAATCCATTTTTTATGTAATCCTCAACTTTACATCAACTAAATTAATTCGTTCTAAGTTGGCAAGTTTAAGTGACCAAAAATACGTTAGTAATATAATAATTGTAATGCATGAGAGACTTCAACTTCAAAAGAACCAAATTCAAAACTTTTAATTGATAAGGATAGAATTAAAAATTTTAAAAGGTTAAATATCAAAATTGAGAATTACTCATGTCAATTTTTATTTTTAAAAAAAGTTAGTGAATTGAATAGAATATAAAATTAAGGGGGATATAAGGGAGAATTTTCTCTCCCTATTTTACCCCTCTCCTTTTTAAATTCATTTGTAATTTGTTTTTCCCTTTTCATTTGTTATTTTGGTTTTCTTAAATTATATCAAAATTGAAGATTATATTTGAAGTTTTTATATTAATTTTAGCAAAATATACCCAATTATCTTTAATGTATTAAATAACTCTCAATTTGGCCCTCTTGTAAAATTTTCCAATTATGAAAAATACTCAATTAAATCATTGAATAAAAACAATAACTGGTATTTAAAATAAAAAATTCATATTATTGAGTTACAATTTTGTTGACATATTTGAACACATTAACAAATTCTTTAAATGTTTACCTTAAAATTTGTATTCAGATTAATTCTAAATTTTGCTATATATTCGTATAATTTCCAATAACTTATTTTATTGTTTTATTGCTTTACTTATAATACTTAAAATTTTTCTTATTAAAAAAATAAATAATCTACTTTTCAAGAAATTATTAGTATAATTTTAGCTCCCAACTATGTCTTATTTTTTATATTAATTTATTGAATAATTTAAAACTCTTAATTACCATCAAAGATTATTTTAAAACATACAAATATTATGAAGGAAATGGAAGGGGAGAGAGCTTACAATGGCGAGAGGAAGAGGCCGAAGGAGATGACATTTCCTGCACATTTAAATTTAGAGCTTCATTATTTCTCAAAAAAAATTTAAAAAAAAAATTTAGAGCTCCATGAGTTCCTTTATATTTTATTTATTTATAAGTATTTTAGTTTGAATCCTATTTTGGTAAATAGATTTTTAACCAACAATTTTGACTAAAGTTTCAAAATATTTATTTTAGTCACATGCCAAGCTTTAAAAAAAAAAACATTTTAGTCCCGTCTCAATGATGGTCCTGTGGTACAAGATAGTGTCAATAATAGCAGGTTAATAAATACACTCCAAACTATGTTATTAATTTGTCTTTAAGAAAAATAAAATAAAGATAAAGAATGAAAATGGTTATTTTTCAAGAGTTTAAGGACTAAATAGACATTTCTACGGTTTAGGGACTAAAATAAAATAAATCTAAAAGTCGCGTTTTTTAAAACATATAAACCATAGTGGAATAATCTTAATCTTAAAAAACGCAAGTGTAGCACAAGTAAAGATTATGATGTAGAGAAAGTGGATTATTGTCTAAAGTGTTCTTGGGTGTCTAGTCGATGTAACTTTTTAAGTGATTTTGAATGACTAAAATTATATGTATTTTTTAATACGCAGTTATAGTATCCCAGTATTCTTTACAATGCTATGATATTATCAGGCATAATCTACGATTTTGGTTTTCGTTTCATCCAAAAAAATTTAATAACAATGGAGATAATTATTTTCATCTAAATTATACTCTTTTTTAGCTAGTCAACGTGTGACTTTTGCATTCACCTTACAAATCCAACAACTTTTCATCCTCGCTCAAAAATCTATACATCTACGAGAAACACTAATAAATCTACTATTACCAAGAGGGACTATATATGATCATGGAGATAATATGATTATGAGAAGTAAGTTACCAATGACGCCGACGATAAACCGAGCAACAGCAGCGCTCACCATCTTGAAATTTCCTACGGGGGTCGAAGTTCGAAAGCGAAACTGATCCGGGGAAGAGAAGAAGAGGGAAAGAGAGAGAGATTTATAGAATGGAGTGAGAATTGGGGAAGAAGAATATAATACTATGAACAGAGAGAGGTGATCGGAGTAGGAATTAATGTCAGAAATGATTCCTACAGTTATTGACTCGTGAGAGTTTAGTAGGAATTTTGTCAGATTGATTCCTGATTGGAGTAGGAATTTTTTGTCTATAAACGCGACTTTTGCTCGCGATTTGTCTCACACTTTGTCTCTCTTGATCTCTACCAATTTGCTGGAAAATTTCTCTGTGAAAAGTGCATGGGATATTAGGAAACAAAGTCTTACTTCACGTTTCTTGATGCAATGCATCGTATATTTATATTTGCTTTTCTACTTTTTTTATATTTGATTCTTTTTTTTTCAACTTGTTCCATGTGGCCTATTAAATATTTTTATAAAGTTTCAATTATTTTTTTGGTTAAATTACAATTTTGGTCTTGTGTTTGTTGCTGATTTTCACAGCCTTGTATGGTTTCAAAAGCTTCAATTTTGGTTTTTATGGTTTGGAGTTCATTGATTTCAATTTTGCCCCAATAGTTGATTTGATGATGAATCGTCTCTGTGTTGTTGTGTTGAAGACGAGACATATTTTTCTTTTATTTTGGTTGATTGTGCTAGCTTATTGTATTAGGGTTTAGATTTGAGTAAAACGATAGAGGAAATGAATGGACTTTTGGATGGTGAAAAAAGTTTTAGGATGATTTCTAAGGTTTAACTAAATATGTATAAATCAAATTGAAATTTTTGCTATAAAATTTAACATAAAGTCAACTTCGATTTAATTCAACTCGTTAAGGCATATATTATTGACCAAGACATTAAAGGTTGGAATCCCCACCTCACATGATCTACACTGAACTGAAGAAAAAAAAAGAAACATAAATAATTAATCATTTCAATATGATCTCTAACACTTTTTTGTTCTTTATTTGCGAAGCAACCTTAGCATGTCTTTAACCAAAGCGAGCATAGCTTAGCGATAATTGGCATATATCTCCAACCTCTGGTTGTGAGTTCGATCCCAAAAAATTAATAATAATCCCTTAGCATGTCTTTTAACTTATTTAATCCAAAATTAGTCATTGAAAATTGACCTATTGTAGGTATACTAATCATTGAAACCTCGTAAAATTTACCATTTCAATATTCATATATTTTTCATTATTTCTCAAATTTGGTGATCATAAGAATTTAATTAGAAAACTTCAAATACATAAAGGAATAAAATTGAAATGTTTTTCAAATGATGCAGGTAGAATTATAATTTTAGCCTCTATGTTTTGGTTACTATGCTTTTAAAAAATTATAAGTTTTTGATCTTTAAAGTTTCAAGTCTGTTTTATGCTTGTCTAGAACTTTCAAAATAGAAAATTTCTATTTTAAGCATTGAATTGTTAACAGATATCACTTTGGTTTATGAACTTTGAAAGGATCTATTTTAGTCTGTCTCGAAAAAAGTTAATATTTTAGTCCTCAGTGATCTATTATTTTTCCACAAAATATTCATTCACCCAATACTTATCTTAGTTAATGCCTTTGTGGTTCTCCAATATATGCTCTTGTCAATATGTTAATAAATATACTTGAAGTCATTTTATCTATTTATTAAATAAGACATGACAGTAATTAATGACCAAAACAATTGTTTATTTGATATTTAATTACACATTTTAAAAGTGTGGGACCAACATGATATACCTTAAAATTTAGAGAATAAAATATATATTGATTAAATAAAAGTAACTATTCTTCATCCTCGTGTGACACTTGATTTTTTTTAGTAGGGGTGGGGTTCGAACTCACAATCTCTTGATCGGAGATATATATCAATTACAGCTGAGTTATGCTTGTTTGGATGTTTGGATGTCACTTAATTTTACAACTTAATAATGACATCGAATATATATGATAATGATATAAATAAAAATATGTTGGATTTTTGCATGTGATCAATCATTTAAAAGTTGATTCTATGGTTACTTTTTTAAGATTAAAAAATATTATTGGAAATTAAAAAGAAAAAAAAAGAAGTATTTGCATTTATAGCTATAAAATTTCATATACTTTAGGAAAGCCAATGCATCTGCCCATAGTTGGTCTGTTTACTTAAAAAAAGTACACTAATTATTTGTTTAGTGTGAACAAAAAAGTACATTAATTGTTATTACTATTTTTTAAACATATAAAGCAGATAAGGAAAGGGTCCCATATGAGATTATTTAATTTCATGGTCCTTGAAAAGAATTTCACTTTATTCCTTTCATATGAGAAAAGGAATTATGATTAAAAAGAGTGCTTATAAATTTGAAAACAATTTGAGAACATTGAAAGCACATGGATAAGGAATCATTTATTTTGTTCCCTTCAAAATGTTGTGGAATCTATCTTTGCACTCTTGAGTTCAATATCGGTAAGATCCAACCTTCAACTTCAAATAAAATAATTTAGTACCTCATCGATTAACCTATTTTCAGATTGACTATGTAGGACCAGTTACTGTAGATTTAAATAGTTTTATTATAAACTTGTCTTTGTTATTTGGATATTAGCCTAGACATGTCAAAGGATAGCCAGTAAAAAACTAGTTGGCCCAAAAGACCCATTTTAAGTTCAAATTTTCAACTTCATGTTTTCTTTATCAAAATAGTCAATGTTAAATTAGCATGTCGATTCTTGAAAGATTAAGTTTTTTTTNTTTTGGTACAACATGTGGGGGTGGGGTTCAAACTCATGACCTTTTGGTTAGAGATGAGTGTCTTAACCACTTTAAGCTATGCTCGATTTGATCTTGAAAGATTAAATTTAACTCAATAGTTATTAAGAAATATCGACATACATACATACCTACATACATATACATACATACCTACATACATATACATATACATATACATATATATGTATATATATATGTATATATGTATATGTTTTAGCCCAACAAAAGTTTCTAATCTTCTATACTTCAATATTTTTAAATTTATCATTTCGGTTCGGCGAGTGAATGTTAAATTTGACTATAATTAAGCTTACGTGAGATTATAATTAGTAAATTTAAAGTATGAATTAAGTTGGAGAAACCGTCAAAATTTTACTAAAGAAATTAGAGACCTTACTTTCTTAGGTGGTATAATTCCTTCTCTAAAGTTTTTGCCCACTCACCAATAAGTGTGTGTTTGGCATGGCTTTAAAAATATTTAGGGAGGACTAAAAATAATTTTTTAGAAATTGGCAGTGTTCGAGAAATTCTTAAAAATACATTTAAAAAAACACTTCAAATGTTTTTAGATAATGCACATTTAATTAGTTTCTTTTTCCATAAGTGCTTAAAAAATTAAGATTCCACTTGAAAACACTTTTTTTTTTCAAAATACATAATAAACTTGCTTAAAGAGTAATGTTCAGGTAATTTATCTCAATTTTAACATTCACTGATAGAAATAATATAATTGAAAAACGCTAAACTAATAGGGACTAAAGTAATTATTAAAATAATTCAAGCTACGTTACACACAATTTTTATTTATTTTTTCTTTTTTTAGTACAAAAATGTAGAAAATAAATAAGATGTTTTTAACTACTTAACTTTGTTCATATGAGCTCTTAAAAAAACTCATGTCAACCATATTAATTATTCCAAAAAAAAAATTGAATCAATAAAATTAACTGTCAGAGTTTTTAAATGGAAATGTGGATGTCTCAATTTGATTGAAATATTGATAAAATTTCGATTTCGATAAATATTTTTAGAAAAATATAAAAATAAAAAAATTCATAGCAAACGTTTAAATTAACAAAATTTCGTACCTTTTAAATAAATTAAAAATTACTGATATTAATATTAATATTATATCCATACTAGCGTTGATATTTTTAATATTTTATCGACTTTTTTACGATATTGTAGAATGTTGATTCACCTCTTGGTTGATGTCGAACTCATTCGTCAAATGAAAATTTCAACATGCCAACACAAATTTTATACCGTGATTAGAACCAAACTATTTAGGCGGGTGAAATATTTTTTTCCCTTCGAAATCATTTTGATTAAAATCAAAATAAACATCAATTAATTTTTCTTCTTAAAATATCTAGGAAACCCTTCCCGAATTATAAAAAGGAAAAAATAATAAAAGTCACCTAACCATGATAGTTGGAAAAAAAAAAAAAAGAACTTTGGAATGATTAATAAATATTCATATTTTATTTACATGATTCTACTATTTGCCATTGTTACAATATTTTTGTAATTTCCAACATAATTAAATGCAAGTTGTTAATTTTTCACCATATTTTTTCAACAATTGTAACACAAAGTGGTATATGGAAAAAGCAGCCAAATAATGCCATTTCTATGCACTCATTAAGACTGGCATAGGTGGTGAAGAGCTGGACTTCACTAGCTTTTGTTTCCTAATTAATATTCTCTTCATTCCATTGCAAAAAAGAAAAGAGAAAAAATTAATTATTATTATTATAATAATTACAATTATAATAATTATAGTAAATAAATAAATAGAGATATTCTCCTCATCTTTTGTTACTTTACAGGCTAATATGCATGTAGAATGAATTCAAGTAGACCCAAAATTGTTTCACGAGTGAGGGCATTGTTGATCTCGAAATTTCATTGAATGGATCACCGAGGCCAGGATAATAACAAATGAGATTGAGCGCTAATGTGGCTAACAACCACCGTTATATACGATTAAGAACATATATATATCTCGACCAAGAGTTTGGAAGTTCGAATCTAACAATTAAACATGATTAAACGACCAATGAATCTCTAAAAGCTTAAGCTAATGGATTCAGTAAATTTCTACGTCTTGTTTCAAATTTTCTTAAGAAATCTAACTATTTCGAAACTAACTATGTTTCTGGTTTAATATTTTTTGGGAACATTCTCAAAATTGTATAGAATTTTTGGAAACAATCAAAACAAGTTATTTTTTCTTGTTTCCATTTCCAATTTTATTCCAAAACATAAATAAAATATTGTTTTATCTACTTGAATTCATAGATGTTTGAACAATGCAATTCATTTTCTTCCTAACAGGAACAAAAAATAAAATGGTTTCCAAACGAGTCCTTAATTTCTCATTAGAGGAATTGTCTTATCTCAGTCATATTAGAAACTATATTTCACAACTCGCCTATGTTTTCAAATTATACATATTTGGAATTCCGAGATTTGAAATTTTTTATTAATCCCAACACTGTCCTCAATTAATAATTAGATTTTTAAAATCCATTTCTCTCGTGGC